TGTTATTAATGTATTGTACTAAGAATTTTTCTACAAGCATATCTTAATAGCCAAGTATTTCAAGCTGTAGTCTAACGAATGGCACAGGTTAAATGAGACAAAATCATTTTCTTCTTTTTTGAATCCCTCCGATACATTTTCAGAAAATCATTCTATAGTTATTCGATAGAGAATTTTGTGCTCTGTGCTTTCACGATGTTTTCAAGATTCCTATTTCTATCGTTCATAAGAAGACTTGGAACTCATACTTAGTAGTAGTTTTGTACGTTTTTCGGAAAAACATGCTTTCCAAAATTAGACTTGGTGTTTAAAACAGTTATTCTCGCCTTGTCGAATATAGAATTGAATTCTGAACAAAATGGTGCGACTGCTAAGTCGAGGAGTAAATGCAATTAGGTTGTATCGATTGAAAAGGAGAACAATCACTTAATCCTATTAGAGAAAGGTTTTTTTTGTCAGAAGATTTTTCTTCCAAATATTTCTTCTAAAATTCGGAAACATATATCACAAGATGCAAAAATAGTAGTTTCTTAATTTCTATGGTCTAAGGATCTATTTATAATCATTAACTTCATCTATAGTAAAAGGTTTAAAAAGAAAGAGCCTATTCTAAAACTTAAATTTTATTTTGAAGAAAAAACAAAACAAAGAAACATGTAAATAACAAACCTGTTTAATCGTTTTAACATCTTCATCAAGTTCAAGATTGTCCAAAATGACGGCAACGAAAAGTGAAAGTACAATCTAATTTAAAAAACAAAACAAAAAAAATAAATTTTATATCTTAAATAATAACACATTAAAATAAGCAGAAGCCTTAAAATAGAAAGAAAAGCAAGGCACAATACAAAATCTAACAAAATATTTTCTATTGCGCATACCAAATTAATAACAAAATATTAATCAATAAAATAGATAGCAACAAATGGAGTTACATCTTGAATACTATATTGTATTATATAATGCATAAGATCAAACCATTGTTTTTGTGTTAAAACTTGAAACATTAATATAAATGCCTATATGCATGAAGCAATCAGCAATTAAAGCTAATGAAATTATTCAAAATGCGTTTCAAACAAAGACAAAAAAAAAAAGAAAATCTTTTTTTCTTACTCATGTTCATGCTTAATATTATTTCATTCTTTCGCAAATAACTTACAGAATTAGTTAATAAATGAAAAAAGATAAAGAAAAGTGCTGTTAGACATAAAAAGAATATTCCAAATTCAAAAACTTCGTCCATTGCTGAATACATCACTTCTGTCCAACCATCATTCATAGCAATACGAAACATAGACATAAATGCCTGAGAAGTATTTTATTTTATTATTTTTTTGAAAAAAATATAACATCAAGAAAAACAAAAAGAAACTTACACGAGGAAATGTTTCAAATTGTTCAAGACCTTTAATAAAACAAAATAATTGCATACTAATCGATGATGTTATCAATAATAAACACATTGTAAATAAAATTAAACTACCAAGTTTTTACCCGGACCAAAAATCTTCATGAATAAAAAACAAATAGAAATATTTGTTTTTGAAAAAATTTCAATTTGTTTTTTTTTTTACTTTACTAAGAAAATTTTCAAGTAAAGGAATTGATTTAAGTCGACGAGCGACACGTAGAACTTGAAAATATGTAAAAGCACTTCGATAAAATGATGGAAAACAATGAAGAGTTGTTCCCACAGCAAGCATAAATTCAAATATAAATATTGATCTTCGAATATAATTTTTAAAGCCCATTGAAAAGATTTTCAAAAGTGCTTCCAAATCAAAAAATATAGTAAATAATGTCTAAAACCAATGTCATTGAAATTTTTTTTTCTTATTTTTTAATAGAACATTTTACTTCTACCTCAATTTTATGATAAAATTCACGATTTTTCTTATCAAGTTTTTCATTATGTGTATGTTCAATAGTGGCCGTAAAGATTGTATTAGCAAGTACAACAATCATAATAATTTTTGTAAACACTGGAGATTGTACAATTTTTAAAAAAATAGCTGGTGCTACACCTTTCTTTTTTTCACCTATATTGACTAATTTTAATGTACTATTATCAGCTTTTTGTAGTATCTATATGAAAATTTAGTTTAAATTTGAATTTGAAATAAGATTGTATTTACATTTGTTGCTTCAATGCCTGATGTTACTTCTATTGAACCCCACATTTGTTGGAATTGAACACGAATTTCAGCGAATGTTTCGATAATAACAGCAATAAATACATTCTAAAATAAAATTTTCTTTTTTTTTTGTCATAGAATTTAATAAATTAATCTTTTTGAAAAATCTTCATAGTACATCATATTTCTAACTTATCAAAATGTGATATATTCATGACAAGTTATAGAAAAGAAAACAAAGTATAGTTGAATAACATTTTTTATGACTGTACGCAAAATTGAATAATAAAATTAATGATAACTCTTGAAGCAACTACTAAACAATTTTATCGTATATTAAATCTAAAAAAACGTCATATTCTATGTTAATAGACAATAGCTTTAAATCTTTGTCGAGAAGCAAAATTTTTTATGTTCTAGACTATTTAAAACTTACTTTGACGAGCCATGCAAGAAAAAAAATTAATGTAATAAAATAAAAATATGCACGCCATGATGGAAGACTATCAATAGCTCGATACATAAGAAATACCCATCCTTCTTGACTAGCTGATTCATAAACTGAAAAAAAACTAGTTGCTATTTCATCAAAACCATTATAACCACGTAAATTTCGTTGAATTTCAATTTTTTTACAAGTAAAATTTTCTGGACAATGAAAACCATCTTTTGTTGGCGAACAATATGTATCAGGTATCATTAAATCTGACTGTGTCACGTTACTTAAACAAACAAACGAAAAAAGAAATAAAAACAAGTAAAGAAATCTTTTTTTTTTCTCATACTTTAAATCAGTACCGTTTCTAACACAATGGAATGTAAGTGATCCAAAAAATTGTACACCTAATATGGCATATAAACTAATAAAGAATAGAAAAAAGACTGTTACATTATAAATTTGTGAACTCGAACGGCTAAAATAATAGACATAGAAATAAAAAAACAATTGTTTCTTTTTATTAACATACTGAAGAATAGATTTAATCTGGCTTTTAGGTAATTTAAATTTGAGAAATGTTTTGAAAACTTTTATAAGAATAAATGGACGTGGTGAACGGATTATTGTAAAATATGAATATTTATTTATAATACCAATTAATTCGAACGTCTATAAAAAAAATAAGAAAGAAAAATTAGAGATTATGAATAAAACAAAAAATACAATTGACAAATTTTTACTTGTAAGATAATAGAAAAATAGATATTTAAAACCATAATAGCATCAAAATGATTCCATCGATCATATAAATAAGATGAATCACCAATAAATATTCCTCGAGTTTTCATTTTTGCAGCCGCTTCAAATGTTAATATAATTGCACAAGTTATATCGATGATAAATGTTGTATATTGAAGAGATGGATGATATTCAAATGTTTTTGGTGTATTCATACATGTTGAAATAAAACTTAAAAGACCAGTAAGACGAAATATATATTTAGCTAATGGTTTATTCGTCCATTCAAGATTACCAACCATTGAATCTTCTTGGTTATAATCGATTAATGGAACAAAATCGCTACGGAAACTTTGCTTTCTCATCAATGTTATTATCGATGAAATGGCAGTGCCAGTCGATGAGACCGTTGCTCCCATTATTCTATATGTGTTTATATTATTTGTCTACAAGAAAAAGACAAAAAAAAGAACCTCAATCAGTTGATACTTAGTAAGACATACAAAGCAAAGAGAAAGGCAACAAAACGAATTGTATACGATCTTATATGGATAGAAGAAAGATATATATTGGCTCATGATTTTCTATTATTTGTTACGCAGAATAATATGTGGAAAGCATCACAAGGATATGGAATAAACGAGAATTTCTCTTGAGCCTAGAAATACATGTTGTCGTTATCGTCTTTTGACAACAATACAAGGTGATGATGACATCGTTTTTGTTTCTCGGCGTCTTCTTTTTCTTTTATTTTTATTTGTTTCTTTGCAAACAAGAAAATGCAATGTGCACTAGATAATCTTCGTCTTATTCTTCAATTGACTTCTCTCTCCTTCCCACAATTTTCTTTTCTTTTCTTTATTTCTTCTTAGACGAGTCTTGTGGGACATTACATCGCGTAGAATAATGTCGGCTAGTACGCAAGGAAGAATTTTAAGTTGAATCTTTACACTACGGACAATAGGAAGTAACTTGTCTCGATATATTGCAAGTTACATGTTATTGCTAATAGCACGTAAAAAAACAGAGGTTAACATAATAAGCTGATCAGTATCAGGAGATCAACCAAAACAACAATTGTACTAAGCATGCATTTGACGTGTCTATCATGTTTGCATATCGTATCTCATTACCTTTTTCTGAGATATATATATTTTTTTAATTTCTTTAATTGTTCGAATCCTGATATGACTGATTAATTGAAAATTTCATACAACAAACAAAAGAATAGAATTAGGAAAGAAAATCATAGTAATAGCAACCAGTAGAGTTTTGTTGCTTCATACATATAATTAATAGACATATATATACACAAAGAACGATAATAATGGGAGTCATAAACGAAGGAAAAAGAGAAAAGAAACGAGCAAATAAGGAAGAGTATTAAGTTTCTTTCGTGTAATTAGTTGATTCTCTTTACTTTCTTTTGTTCGGAACGTGCTACATTGCTTGAAAGAAGAAACGTGAAAGTTACTGATGAATAACTTACATAAACACACCCATAACATTCAGAAGCAACTATCTATCTTTCTATCGCCATTTCTATTCATCTGTAATGTTAGTTGAAGAGACATTACAAGCAAAAGAAATACAGCGTGTTCCAAAAGTTCGCCGAAAAAGTAAATTTGTATGACTGCACTATTTATCAAACTTAATCAACTATTTTCTTTTCAAATGATAGGCATCACTGTGAAGCTTTTATTTATACGCACCAACTTTAAAGATACGGTTCAAAGCTATCACTTACGACTGAAATACAAAAAACCAATTCTTTTTTCGTTTTAAAAAAAAGCACTTCTCAGTGTTTCTCTCTTAATGCTTCAATTTCTTGTGTTTTTTGTGGTGTTTATATCTGTCAGATCTTGCGTTATCGTCTATATGTATTTGTTTCGATATGTCACCGCAAAAAGAAGCCTAATGGTGTCAAGTCCGATGATTATGAAGCCTATAAAATCTGTGTAACTTTTCGAACTGATGAACTGTAGAGGGTGAATTCATCTCATGAGCTGGGTGTGGGTGGGTGTGGTTCTTCTCTTAACACGTAACCA